CTAGAATGGGGAATAGAAAAAGAGTCTAACCTCGCTTACATTCAGGCCTTCTTGAATTGAAGAGTTTGCCTTCTCATCTCCTTTGGAATTACATTCTTATTCATTTCCCAATTCAATTCTATTATTGGGTTCAGATGGAGACAAATTCAAACTCAACTACATGATTGGTTGGTTGACTATTACCTAGTATATATTGAAAACAATTCCCATTCAAGGCCTACTTTTTTAAATCAACTTTAAACCAACCTCTTCCTCAATATAAGATTTTGCACTTTACCTACAAATTTATACAAATAGGTTATTATTACCTATATATATAGGCATGATGTGCATGCCTTTTACAAGCCCAAATATATAGTTACATGTACGGCAAACAAGAAATTTTAGAAGATTCAGAGCGTCAAATCATATTCATTATCTTTAAAAAAAATTCATTAATCTCACAAGTTAGGATAATTTGTGCAAGTGACATGTCCTTGCAATATTATAATTTTTTCTACGTGATTTATTTCAAGAAATGCTAATTGACCTACGGGTCCCAATGAAATGAAATGTGAAATCTTCTTCGGGTCTTCTCAAACGTGTTAAGTATTCAATTGATCACCAATTACTTTGATGAAATGATGATATAGAATGTTATAAATTTATGTTCAGAAAATTATTATATTATTTTGGACGCATGTATCCTACTGAATATAAATTACTCACTCCTTTAAATTTTAACATTTCAGGTTAGTGCGGTCAACGTGGATGGTGGCTAAACGTTGCGTGAGCGGCCAAGTAAAAAATTTAGAAAAACATTTAAAACAATAATTTTGCTAGGATATTTTATGTTTCCATTCATTTCCATTGAATGTTCTATGTTACATGACATTTTTTTATTATTATTCAATACTTGAGTATTATATAAATTAGGAGTTTTAAACCTTCAATTTTTATTTTTGTTTCACATATGATTATGAAATGATATCGATAATACCTCAAAATTCCAGTCAATAAAATTTGGGGCGTTATAATTACAAGTTCAACAAATGCCAATTAAACTATTAGCCCAATATAAACAGCCTAACAGCAATCGGCCCAAACCAATAGTCTCAGAGGTGAACGCGACTTGCTGAACTACACTTGAAGTCCACTACACACGACAGAAGGAAAAGACGGTGATGAATTGAACAACCTGCTCGAGCAAACTGAAAAACCAGATGAGGAGATGCCGACCAAGACGACGAGGAGAGAACCCAGATGATGTCGGAACTTCAGATGGTGCCGAACAACACGAAGCCTAATAGCAGGCTATGCCGAAACGCAATCTCTTCGCTTTAACTACGAAGAACAGCAAACTATGTAGGCTTGCCAAAAGATTTAGCTCACACGCTCAAATAGATTAATGTCTAGCTGTGATACATGTAGAAAACGAGAGAAGGTATATAAAGAGAGAATGTTATATTATATTTCTCTATATAATTACAAGCATATGAGTTCAATTTATACTACCACAAAAGTCTAAAAAATGTAATGTGTTAATTTAGGGAAGTAGAAATTTTCCTAATCTAAATAAGGTATACAATCTATAATCAATCCTATAATACACGGGATTTCAACAACTTCCCTTTTTTCCCCCAAAAGGAGAAGCAACAATTTACACAAAAAGTACTTCACCTGAAAGTTTTTAAGGCCCCGTTTGTTTCCCATTTATGTAAAATTGAGAATGAAAAATATAGTCATGGCCCCACACAAAAGATACAAATTCAAACACGGTAGCTTGATGTGATGGATAACAGTCATATTTTTCATTTTAATGGGGAAAGAATGGGAAACAAACAGGGGCTAAATATGTATGTGAACTGCATAAATAATTTGTTCCTTTTAGCCATTGTATAATAAAAAATAAAAAATAAAACAGTTGGGAATCTCCATCCAAATCCATTAGTCCATCTCAATCCATCCAATTTTTATTAGATATGGATCCATCCCAATAATGTTAATGAACAATACTAGATCTTCCAATAGTATTAATGGGTTTAGTGACATCCAATAAGATACAACAAAATCAAAAACTACAGCTCAATGGTAAACAAACCAAAAAGACAACTTCCTAACCTAAAGTCTTTAACCATGAAAAAGTACTCAAAAGAAAATAATTTTCCATTAACTACTAGATCTATAAATAGCACTCCAAGCAACTAAACCTTTATATATACAAGTGTCAATAATCACTCAAATCTCAACGATTATTTTCATTTTCATAATCGGGTTTTTTTTTCTGCTCTCAAAAGTTGATGTGTGCATCTCCTTTTCTAGACGGAGTTAAATTAAATTAATTAATATGCATCTTATTTTTGCTAAGAAATTCTTATTACTTTTTAGAAAGAAAATGTACTTGGTATTGCTAACTGAAAATGTTAAGCATGTAATCTCTTTTCTCTCAGGTTACATATAATATACAAGAATTGAAGTAGGTCAAATCAATTTCTTCTTCCCAATAGCATTCCAAATTATCTACTACGGACCCACGGTTTAGAGCTAAATACGTATCAGCTGCTTCACCATCATAATATCCACCACGGCCCCAATGCTAGAAACCACAATCAAAACCAGACCAATTTGATTTGTGCATAAGATATTCTATGCCAACTGTGAGTCCCTGAATTCAACTTCTGTGAAGTGTAGCTCTGGCTCCTCCTTAGGATCCTCATAATCACAATACTAAGTTATTTCCAATGGACATTCTCAATCTAATCCTAGACGTGTTAATTTTATTACTAGACTGCATCAGATTTTGTGCAGTTTGCAAAGCTTGGCTTTCAATTAGACTTAACCAAATAACATTTAGCGCAAATTTTTTTTTTTTTTTTTAACAGCTATTGATGGTAGACTGGAGGTTGATACATAGGCACCTCTGTTGCATGGACGCTTCAACTAGGATAACGTGTCCGTATCCAACATGTGTCGCAACCACACTCCTCGACACTCTTACCATAATCATTTTTTTATTTTTTTAACTAGAAATATGATATAATTAAACTTAAAGTTATTAATAAATAACAAACAGATACTCATATTTAAAAGATTTCGACAAGAAAAATTAATAACAAATATAAAATTAAACTTATAGTATATAAATGAAAAATTTTAAAGAATTTAGTCAACATGTCAACAACATATTGTGTCAGTACTTTTTTGAAAATTTGTGTATCAGCGTATCTGACAAGTATCATGTCAAACACAAATGTTCATGTCAATGCATCATAGGGAGGCACTTTGGCTTCAAGGAGGATTTCTTTGAACCAATATAGCTCACAAAAGATAGCTTAGATGATAGTTATTAAACCTAGACTCAACCATCGGTCCACCCAGAAAACCGAACCTGGTCAGGTCCAGTCAGCATATTTGGACTAGTTTGCAATTGAACAGGTCATGAACCGCCCAAGCTGGCCAGGTTTCACATTAAACTGGTTTCACCAAACCCAGCGGTTATTTGCGAAATGGGCAATCCTTTGCAACATGTGCAAGTTGTGGAGACCAAGTCTTGAAACCAGGACCTTAACCTAGTTAAACAGGTGCATTAACACTAGGGTGCCTCCATTCTTCGGTACAGACCAACGAAATTTTATGTAAACATCTTATTGGAGATTGTATTAGTTTAAAGTATTTTAACTATTTATTGTCTTAGAGAAAAACAATTAACAAAAATACATAGATTTCAAGTCTAATTTATCTTTTATGGTCAAATTTAAAACATAATGATGAAAATTTATGGAAAAAGAATTAAAAGACTGATTAATAATAGAGATACAAAAGAAATAACGAAAATCCATAGATCTTTGATTAATTTTCAGAAAAGAGAGAGAATTTGAAAATTTAAAATATTCATGTTACCAAATGAACTTTTTATTAGAAACAACTTTCACTTTTAACATTATGGGTATGCGTATTCGCCTTGTTTTCCAGAAAAAAATTTGTGTTTTCTATAATTTCGACATAATAATGACCCACCGGCTGAATAAAACTGCATTACTTCCCCACCAAAATCATCATCCACTATATTTGTTCCACATGCTTCTTTAACAACCCAAAAGCCCCAAATAATACACCCATTATGCAGCTTTCACCACTCAATCTCAACTCAAGACAACAAAAACAAAATCAAGAAGGAAAAGAAAAAGACCACATTAAACTTGAGATCAAATAAATATCCTGCTTTACACTGAGTTTGAGCTCAAGCTTAGCACCAATAAATAATATGTACAAGATCATTGTGAGCTCAATTTAAATTAAAATACATACTCTCTTTTTGTTATTTTATTTTGGGAAATAAATTAAAAGCTTTCTAATGTTCAAAGAAAATATTGCCTATGAAAAAAATAAAAATAAAAATGTTCAAAGAAAATATGACACTTTCCAATCAAATAATCACCATTTATATCGGAATATTTTAGAGAAAAGAATGATTCTTCTTAATTTTATAATTATGTTACTGTATATTAATGGTAAGTATCCTGAATTTCATTGGATGGTAACTAATGCATCAAGTACAACTGGGGGGAACAATACATTCAATAATGGAATACAGCACATACAACTGCAGAAGACAATGGAACACCAACATCAATTAGTAAAGATTTAAGTTTTTTTATCTTTTTTTTTTTTTTTTTTTTTTTTTTTTTTTTTTTTTTTTTTGTAGAAATTACTGTTCTTTTTGAAGAATGCTTGGCTAGTTTCAAGGAATTATCCCATGTGTTTGGATAACTTGCCATTTTTAGCTTAGCCAAACATTACAACGACTCAATTTAATAACAAACTAAAGCTACCCATCACAAATTGCAAATATACTTCCAAACAATTACTTTCGTTTACAAGGGCGTAAGATTCGTATAGGGTTTACGTTTAGGATCGATTCAGTAAAATAAATTAGGGATTATCTACACAAAATGAGCAACGGCGCAAGAGATATTGGTATGTAACTGTAATTGAGCAATAAAAAGAAGATTACGACTCACCGGAGATGTGAAGAAACAGGAAATTGGTGAAAGTGAGAAACAGAAAAACGCTGCAGCACTCAAATCTCATTGTTCACGCACTTCTCAGTTTACAATTCAAACCCGGGAGCTTTGACGGTATGTTTGCTAGTGTTTGGCTAAGTTGGTGTAATCAATTGGCAATTTGGCATAAAGACTTATAATTTAGATTCGGTTTAATGAAATAAATAAATAAATAAAGCACAACAATATTTAGCATCTTTGGGGTTACAACACACTATAAAATAGTAGGTAAAAGAATAATGCAATTTAATCTTATTGGGATTATAACCTCTGTCTATGTGACGTTAACGATGCATTAAATGATAAGTAGATTTCACCTTTCATTTAGGGCTTATTTGAGCCACATTATTTTCAAAAAAATACATTTTCAACAGCAATTTAACATCATTTCAACCATAAATTCTTCAATAAAATAATATTACACACAAATTTAAAACTTTTCCTTATTTTTAACCACACATTTCCCGTTGATTTGACATAATAATGCATTTTCTCTTAGAATGTGGCTCAAACATAGGCTTAATCTATCACCTATTAGATTGTGATTATAATCCTGTTGATCTAAATAACATTGTTGACGTCAAAAATTGTAGAAATAACTTTTGGGCCAACTACAAAATAGAATGTGTATTTTATTTATAATAATTCTCGAGTACAATCGTTTGATCGTTCCATAATGAAGGAAAGTACTTAATCAAGGTGTTTGTGTTTGGAGATGTCAAGTGAACTCTGCCTCCTTGAAAAGAATCATTCGTCTCTTTTTATAGGGATGATGAGCTTCCCCTTAGACAGCTTAAGTCTTGTCAATCAAATCGGCTTCGGTGCTGAGCTTAGGAGGCGTGCCAGTGACCTTATCTTTGATTAGCTGTTGAGGTCAGCCACCTTCAAATCATCATGATGCTGGCCTTACTGTATTATTAAAGAATGACAAGTTAACATCAGATGCTAGCTTGTAGATCATCTTGATGCTGGCCCTACTGTATTATAAAAGCCTCTTGCGGTTAATTGGTGGAAAAGGAAGTGCTGACGTCATAATTGCAAAATGTCCTTTACTGATTCGAGAGTTGGTTGGCTTAACAATATAACAGAGAATTATAATCATGATGTTCTCTAGGATTGCGATAGTCATTGTTCCGAGTTGACCTTAGTGTGTTTTGACTTGAGCTTTTACACAAATTATATAATCATAAAATATTCATGTTTTAACATAGGTCATAGTTCAGAGCCAAAAGAATTACCCTCAAAGTTATGTGCTCACCTAGGAGATGGACTAATCTTGAATATTGTTGTCGATTTTATATCCCACATGTGTACTGTTCGTAACAAGTAATAAAGTAGACCTTTTGGTTCCGAATTATCGTTTCCACGATGCCTATACTTTAATACTCAATTCATTATTTTTAACTTCTTTTTGATGAAAAAAAAGCAAGAATAATGATTGGTTATGATTTTTAATCAACTATCTAACAATACGTGGATGCACACAAATAGTGATTGAGAATTGAAATAATAAATAGATATTAGGATGGAACAATTTCACCTATTGATCACCTTTAAGTCTTAAATCAAGAATCATAAAATCTAAGGTAGTGTCTCCTATTGTATTCAATTTACTCCTCTCGAATTCTCATTAAGCCTATTTAACTACTTCAATTTCATATCTCTATACGAATCAAATTTAGTTAAATGAAATAATATTCTAAAAATTCATTTATGACCGTAGTAATTAATATAGGTTTCTCTACTCGTTATATTAATTTAGCAGATTTTAATATGTGGTCTAAACAAAGAATCTACATCTCTATATAATTATTGTTCACGAAATCATTGAATAATTGGCCAAAAGATTCAAAGTATTGAAAATATGATTAAAATCCACACATATAATCCTAACGAATAAGAATCTCAAATAAAAGAACTAAAGGGTTCCAAATATGTTACATTATTAACCCTAAAATTAGATTTAACTACTCATAGTAATGAATGAAAAACAAGAAGTTATATGGAAGACATCACTGGGTTTTGAATAAGAATATAGAATTAAAAATCAATCTTGCGCCAAGATATTCTTTCTCTTCCAATTTATGCTTCAAAAATTGGATTGCCTGATGTTTTTCTCCTTTGAATTCGGCCTTTCAATCTTCAATTGCATGTGTTTTCCTCCTAATAAGGAGATTCAATCCCTTGATCTTTTACCCCATTGAATTCTATCTCAATTCTCCAATATTTTTAGGTGTTTTAATACATAAAAAAGGCTCTCTCCATGTGTTTGGGACGTACTGGTACTCATATGGCTCCAATTTAGGTCAAAGATGTCGCTCAATATCATTTCAAGTTGAGTTTTAATCGTATAAGGAAACCTGGGATTTGGCCAAACTTTTGAACTATCATTGTTGAATTGGGTGAGCTGTTCATCACTTTCCTTAGCTTCCATTGGAAACTTTTTATTAAAACTACATAGTTTTAGCTCATCAAATCTAGGACCTTTGTTTTCCTTCCTTTTCTTCATTAAACAACCCTGAATCCATCTCTTGGTTATCTCCCTTTTAAATCTTCCTTTCTCTTCCATTTTCATACTTTTGTTCTTAATTATTTCTCTCTCAAGGAAGTAAAATTTTCTTCACGTTCTCATCATCATTTAAAGTGAGGTCGTCCATCCCCAAGTATTTTCCTTAGCAGAAAGCACCTTTCTTTTTCTTGCATTTTCTCACCTTTTTTTCTTCTCTTTTTCTAGGGAATAGCTCCCACTTAGCTATGCCCAATGGATGAAGAACATTGATAGCCATTCTAATTTTGTAGGAGAAGTTAAGGAAACCCTAAACTAGGGATGCAATTTGGCTTGCCAATTCGAGTTGCCCATGACTTAGCCTGAAAAAAACTCGAGCCGATCTAACTTGGGCTCAGGGTCGAGCTCCATCTTGGGGTGCAAAATCGAGCCCGAGCCAGTCCATGTGGCTTCCTAGGCCGGCTAAAAAAAAGTAGCCTACAGCTACCTATATTATTAGAAAAATCGAGTTGACCCAACTCAGGTCGATGGGCTCGAGCTGAAAGCTCAGGTTAAGCCTCGATTTATTGGTCGAACGTTTGTTCGACTCCGCTTGGGCTAAAAAAGTCCGACTTAATTTTATTCGAGCTGAGCCGCCTAGAGTTTCGGCTCATTAGCCAGCTTTACTCGGCTCGATGACATTCCTACCCTGAGATGAGTGTAGAGCAATTTGACTCTCTTTTTACTTTCGAAGAGGATGGAAAGAACATTGGTTGGTAGTATGCCAGTGTTAGACCTAGACCTAGGGGTCCACTAGTTTGGATATTCCCTCCTCGATAAAGAATGGAAGGAAGAGTTTTTTTTGTATTGGGTGAGTAGCAATTTCACCCTTCACAAGTAGATGGAGATGACGGAGTACCTGCCTGTTATCATTTATTATGTAAGTGATCTTCTCTTCACATTTTGCCAAACTGAGTTGTAGGTATATCCTCAACTCTTTTGTTTTATTTGTAGACTACGAGAATGCTACTTCGACTTCAGCTGTCAACAAACAAGCTGATGCAATTAGAGCTTTTCCTAAAAAGCAAAGGTCTAGGAAATTTGTCATCTCCATTTCAAACCTTTTTCAGGCGGGTTTATTTTGATCTCAACCTTCAACTTAACGATAGTTGGGGCTTCTACTTTTATTCCAATATACTTCAGGTAAGGATCGACCTATCTTTAAGTGTTTTAGTCAGCTCATAGTTCAGACTCAATCCTTCTTTTTAGATCAAGACAAAGAAATGTTGGGATAGAAGGCAACAGCTACAACTAACAAGGGTAAGAAAAGGAAAACCCCTACTGAGGTAGTGGAAAAACCACAGAGTTTGTAGTTGAGTAGAGGTCTCAGCTTTCAAGGCATGGCCATTCTAAAAAGCCATTAGCAAGGTTGACTCTCATGGCTTTGTCTCCTGAGCAATCCTCTTTCGTGGTACCACAGTAGAGGTCGATCCTTGTCCCCACTCTTCCTACTATCACTGTCAAAGATCTGCAGAAGCCTAGCATTGATTATTTGTGGGCCACCGACTTGAGATGTTCCTGGACTTTCTCAGAGCTCTATCGCTATCTAGAGAGTCAACAGTCGCACTTTCTTCTCCTCTCAGATACTCCTCCAACCTTCTTACTGGAGTTGGAATGAGAATGAATAAAAGTTCCTTTCTAAGATCTCAGTGGATGAGGCTGTGTATCGTAAATTCGATGGCTTGGATCCATTCTTTATATGATGTCTATGGCAAATAAGGTATGTGCTAGAGCTCACGTACTTAGGAACTTTTGCCTTTTTTTATTTTTATAAACTAGATTACTTTCTTTATTTAGGTAAAGTTTCAACAAGAAAAGATGTTGGAAATCAAAAATCAAGCCTTAAACCTTTTTGAAACCATGGAGGCTAAAGATGCAAGATTTGTTGGGAAAGAGAAGGAATACGAGGATTACCTTAACAAGATAGGGGTAGAGGTGGAGGTGAACTCAATTTTAGAATTAAGCCTCATGGATGAAGTTATGGCCTTGAGGATGTAGGGAAAAAGACCAACAAGGGAGCCTTTTTTGAGAAAATGTGGCTTGAAGAGGAAAGAGCTAGGGCTCATAAGGCTATGAAAAGGGCTGAAGAAGCTACCAAGAAGGCAGAGGCTAAGGTAGTCAAGGCTGTGGAACTTTGAAGGGCCTCTTCTGAGTTTAATGCTCTAGCTCAGGATGCCTACGTAGTAGCCTTTGGAAGAGCTCGTGAAGCTTATTGGTAAAGAAAGGAAAAACACTGCCTTCTTGGTATATGCTTTAGAAGAACAAAAAAAAAAAAAAAGAATTAGAGATATCTGAGGTAGCTTGGATTCACATCTCTCCTGCTAATGAAGATGTTGAAGATTAAGTTGTTAGTAAGATCCTCCAACCCTTAGTTCATTCCCCTTTTCTTTCTTTTTCCTTGCTGTTATAAATCATTGCCTTCGATGTGCTTGTAATAGATGTTTTGCTAGTTGATGGATATTCTATTTAGTGGTAGTTCGATTTTTTGCACAAGTTGAAAATGTTTATGATTTCCTTAAAAGTTGCATCCTTAGGCCGGCTTGCTTAGTAGTAATGCCTCTATAATTTCCTTAAGAGG